CTCTTCTCCAGGCTGAAATTACAAGGCATAAGCAAGGGAGAAAGAAAACGGCTTCAGCTGCGGCTTCAAACGCAGGAAGGGGGGGCACTTGGAGCCACAGAAGCGATGGGGAACAGGGGTGTCCTGATGGCGTTAGCCATTTGCATTGGGTGGGAAGAGGGATCCTGCGGGGATCGGGGCAGACGTGCAGGGGGTCCCGCAAGGGCTGCTCTGGGGCCCCCGCAGCAGGTTGCTGATGTGCTCTCGCGATGGGGCTGGTGCTTTGCTGCCTTCCCAACCCACTCACGTCCAGGGAACTGTGAGCTCTTACGAAGGGGAAAGAAAAGCAGCCATGCATCCAGAAACGGTAAGGAAAAGGTTTTGAAGAGCTCAAATCTTTTGCCAAAGGCGAGGGTGGAACAAACAAGCATAAACAAGATTTATCCATTAAATTAATTAAATTGCATTATTGTGGATTATGTTTATTTATTAATAACAGCTGTAGCGTGGAGAAGATTAGTAACTCACCCAAGAGCAACAGCAGGCCGGTGGCAGATTCAGGACAACTCTTGGAGGTCCAAATTCTGTAACTATACATTATTGTAATTTATACGCCTAATTGAGGAGGATATTGTCCTTAATGAAAGTCTGTAGAAGCAGAGATGATTATGGCTGGGGCAGGCTATAAACAGGCAGCTTTAAAGCACACGCCTCACCCTGTAACATTTGTAAGTCATTTGAGGTGCCAGCTTACTAATAAAATGTGACATTAACGTTCAGAGAAGAGCCAAGGCAGAAGGTAACGAAGTTCTCCAAAGCAGCAGGCAACTTCTGGAAGGTGACTTACCATCTTGTGTGTGTATAAGACAGGAGTCAGTTTTATCTTCCTGCAAGGGGTTCTGGGGGAAGCATTGCCCACATCTCTTGGCCAGCTCAGGGACCCTGATGTCCTCTCTTGGAGCTCAGCACAAGGGGATTTCAGCATCCTTGGGCTGAAAACCATCTGTGTTGGATTGGCCTGGGTTTGGGCTTCTCCAAGGCTTCCATGAGAAGCTGGTGCCGGCCTGGGTTTGGCAGCAGGAGCAAGTGGAGGTTGCAGCACTTGGCCGCAGCCTGCAAAGCAGAGCCAAGCAAAGCTTCCAAGCCAGACGTGGGGTTGAAGAAGCCCAGGGACACAAGTTCACCTTTCCTGTTTTGTTTCCCTCTAGATCCTGACGGTGTCAGGCCCCCCAGAAGGAGGGACGAGGGTGACCATCCGTGGCGTGAACCTGGGCCTGGATTTCTCCGAGATCGCCCACGGGGTGCAGGTTGCTGGGGTGCAGTGCACACCCCTGCCCGAGCAGTACATCGTCGCAGAACAGTGAGTGGCCTCCAGAACCTCGCCCGTCCCCACCCGTGGGTCCCCAGGGCTGGCCAGCCTGCACAAAGCCCCTTCCCAAACCTCCAGCAAACGCGTGGGAGGCCAATAACTCATCCAAACCCCAGGCGTCAGCTCTCCACCCCTTCCAGCCCTTGCAGACCTGCAGGAAGGGATCTGGAGGTGGATGGTGCCTGGAAGGGGGCACGCACCATTCCTACACCAGAAGGGGATGAGGTGCTTGGATGCTCTCTCAGGGAGGGGTTAAGAAGCCCTTTAAGCTTTCCTGAAGTGTTTTGTTTCCTTCCACACCGAGATTCCTGCTTTGGTAAGCAACTTTTTCTGATGAGCACCTTGCTGTTGATGCTGAGCCTCTCTGCCCCCTCCGCTCCCCATCGCACTTGAAATTCAGCCGGCACTGCTGGCTGCACGCAGCCATTTGTTAGGCGGCTGAGGCGGTGACAGCCGCTTAATCCGAATGGGCCTCCACTGGAGTCAATTCATTTATTTCACTAAGAAAAATGTCAATCGAAAATTAGAAAATAGGCATGTAACAGAAGATGGGCGAATAAACCTCCCAAAGTGACACATGCTCCTGTCGCTGTTTGGGGGGGGGGGGGGTGGGGGTGGTGCTGTTCTGGTGTCGCCAAGGTGCTGAGGGCTGTGTTGGGGGTCATTGGTGCAGGGCAGGAGAGGAGCAAGTGGTGTCTCCCTTTGGGTTGTCTGATCCCGCCTGCCGGGGACCGGGAGGGAGCTGGGCCTGGTAGGGCCATGGCTGCTCCCGGCGGGTGGCGGGGGGGGCCCAGGCGCATGAGTGGTCCCAGCAGCACGGATCTGCCCCAGCTTCAGCAGCAGCTGGAAGAAGTTGTTCTCCGGGGGCGAAATGCGTTTGATGGGTCCCAGTCTGATCCCCAGCGTAGCAGAAGGACCTGTTGCTAGCACGTGTTGGCGTTGGTTTGGGTTCTGCTCACTCCTACTCTTTGCTTCACCCTCCGTAAGACAGAAATGACATCCCCCTCCCCTCCCAAAGGGCGGGGGGGCGTGCAGTGTATCCGTTAGGCAGTATTTGCCCATCGCTGGATGAAGGGTGCTCAGGATGTGCAAAGCATCCTTGGTCTTACCGCAGGAGTGGCTCCAAGCACTGCGCCGATCGTGCTGCTGGCGGGTTGGGCTGTTCTGCCGAGCAGTATTTTGTTTTATTTTATTTTTCAAATAAAGGATGGAAGATTATAAAATTATCCTCCTTTGATGGTATGAAACCCTGATTTTATAATCATGACTCTAATTACGGCTCTTGAGCTTTCAAAGTTTAACATCATTAAAACATTTACCCTGGGCAGATAACAGCAAGCGTTAGCATGAGAGCTGCCTTTTAAAGATGAATACAGATAAAAGGACCCTCTTAAGGGTTCTGTGGGCAGACTGAATTCCAAGACTGTAATGACTCACCATATGCTCCAGCCACGCAATCTATCAGCCAGCAATTAGGTTAATGTTGGTGAAAGGGCCACTTAGCCCAGCAATCAGCACCCTACAGCTCTGCCGAATGCATCGGTTTGTAACAAGGTACCTGCTGGGAATTTGGCATTTAACAGGAATGGGGATCAGGTGTACCAGGCCGCTTGTGCCCCATCCCGTGCCCCATCCCGCCTGGTACTGCACGGCAGCTGCTGCTTTACTGGCAAAAAGTTGAATATTTGGTGTTTCCCCCTGTATATAGCGCGTGGCGTATAGAATCCTAGAATGTTTTGAGTTGGAAGGGACCCCTAGAGGTCATCTAGTCCAACCCCCCCGCAGGAGCAGGGACACCGCTAACTAGATCAGGATCCTTGCTCCTCATGGGAGAAAACCTCTGCTCTCCTCCTCCCCTGCCCGCGGGGTGTCCAGGATCACTTCACCTTGCTCTGCTTGCCCATGGGTTGGCGGGGGCAGAGGCTGCTGCTCCCAAATGCCAGCCCTCCACCCTAGCGTGGCTGCGCAGAAGCCCGGCCTCCTCGCCCCGCTGCCGGTTTGCAGAAGTAATGAAATGGAAGGCGGAGGAGAGGTGCCTGGGCAATGCCTGGCTGAAAGGCAGAGAGAGGAGCACGTGGCAGATGGAGGCACGCAGCGAGGACGCTTGGGTTTCTGTTCTCCAAAGGCAGCGTCTCTCTAGGCAACCCCTTTTGATGTGCAGCAATGAGGACTTTCGCATTAGAGCTCTTTCCTAGCGTGTATGTATTTCATTAGGCCTCCCGGCATCACCTGTGCCTGCTGTCTGCAGGTTCTTTTTTTCCTTTCGTTCTTTTTATTTTATTTGTACTGAATTTAATGCTTGCTGCAGGCAGCCGAAACGCTGCCTTCACAAACCGGAGCCTTTCGTGCGTTTGCACATCCTTGGCAGAAGAGCGAGCGTTTCCCCCGCCGCTCCGCAGAAGCCCCCTCAGCCTCACCGGGGAAGGGATGCTCTGGCTCTCCCAAAGCTCTCGCTCCCAGGGCCAGGCACCCACAAGGGCCGCAGCGCCGGCGTTACCGCACCCCTCCGCCCCGCGGCAGCTTGCGCCTACCCCGAGGTTTGCAGTGCCTGGGAGGGTGCTCTTGGAATTTGTCTTCCCAGCGTTGCTGTGGGGGGAAGCAGCACCCACCCCCTTTAGGTGCAGCCAGAGCACCCTGCCAGCTCATGTCCCTTTGAAAACCTCTCTCCGACCTGCTGGCACGACAGGCGTTTGCTTGGTCCCACCTCCAGCAGCATTATGCCTTCCCAGTGCCCTGGGATTTGGGGATCACACCCCTACAGGGTGGATAACGAGGGTTTCCTCATCTTCCAGCCCGGCCCGCTGTGGTTGACCCCAGCAGCTCTCCCTGTCCTTACGGCTTTCCCTGCCTCGGGATGCGCCCATGGGGCTGAGCTGGGCCAGGAGCACGGGACCGGTGCCTGCCAGCGCCGCCAGCCCCTTTTACCAGTGCCAGCATGTTCTGTGCTAGCCAGCCCTGTCCCCCCTGCCAGGGCTGCTCTCCCCGGCTGTCTCTATCATCCCCGCACAGGTTTCTCCATTTTTGATTAACTGGGAGACTGCAGTGTGAGCTGTTCCCTTAATGAACTCATCTGTTACTCTAAGGACTTCGCACTCACTTTGCTACTGGCTAATATATTGCCATTAGTGCTCTGCTTTGCTCTGGAGTTTACAGCTTGTAATAATTATGTCTAATTTTGATTTTTTTTTTTTTCTTTAAATTACTACGTGGGGTAAAAATAGACTCAGTAATTAACTTCTTCCAAAGAGGCAGATATCAAAGTTAAAGAGGGGGGGAAAAAAAAAAAAAAAAGAATTAAAAAAGACAGTCCGCCCTGCGTGGAGCTGCACAGGGCGCTGCAGGCACCAACCTGCCCAAGCCTCACTGCAGCATTTCTGCTTCCAGGATCGTCTGTGAAATGGGGCAGGCGCTTCCAGGGATCAGCTCCGGCCCAGTGCTCCTGTGCATCGGAGAGTGCAAGCCGGAGTTCACGGCCAAGTCCACGCAGCAGTACATGTTCGTGGTGAGTGTCCTGCCGAGGCGGGGAGCAGGGGCGGCACGTGTCCCCGGGGGACAGCCAGGCTCTGCGAGTGCACGTGCCAAAGGGATGGGGTTCAACACCACCACGTGCCAAAGGGATGGGGTTCAACACCACCACATGCCAAAGGGACGGGGTTCAACACCAGCACGTGCCAAAGGGACGGGGTTCAACACCAGCATGTGCCAAAGGGATGGGGTTCAACACCACCACGTGCCAAAGGGATGGGGTTCAACACCACCACGTGCCAAAGGGACGGGGTTCAACACCGGCAGACAGTCCCAAATTTGCCATCTTTTTCCCATGCTTTCCCCACGGCATTGCACAATGTGTTGGTAGCCCAGTCAATGAGCCCAGTTTTCAGGATCTAGAGCTTGCGCAGGTGTGTAGTGGTCTACAGAATAAACAGGATTTGTGCAGGAGCCTAAACCCAGGGTTTCCACAGCATTTGGTTTCAGCTTTGCACCTCCAACATAGTGATAGCCTTCCGAATTGCTAGGCTCGGTTACTCCTTGCAAAGTGTGTTGGTGTGCTCCAGCCAGGAGCGTTGCACGAAGCGTGCCTTTGTTCTGCACCTGAGGGCTTGCAGTGCGTGAGGACTTGTCAAGGAATTGGAGCTGCCACTCAAAATTTTCCTCTATTTGTAACGGACATTGGTCCTTTGGTGCTTGGCTAATGGGGGATGAGTCCAGGGCGCTGCTTCTTGCTGGTTTTGGAGATGTTTGTATGCATACATGTGGACACATACAGGCACCGATAGGCCTTTTTGCAGGAACACAGAAACAGGAGAGCAAGCACCAGAGTCCCCCCTTCTGCAGGTCAGGTACTGAGGTCCTGCTAGATGCTTATGTTTAATCAACTGCCTGTGAAACCTAAACATACCTGAGTTAGTTTCTGTGTCTATGGATTTGATGTCTCCCCCGTGGTGCCCTTTGGAGTGGAAGGGTAATTCTACATCCAAATATCTGGGGATTTTTATTTTTTTTTTCCTCTCCACAGATGCAGGCTCAGTGTGGGCTTTCTCTACCTGCTTAGTGGAGAGCTGCTCTTGGGGTTGGTGGGCTTCTGTCAGCTGAGTGGGTCGTTTCTGTTGTTTAATTAATCAGCAGCCTTTTGATTCTGAAACTTAAAAGCTGCAGCTGGGGTTTCTCATATCCCCAGTTTTGCCTGACCCAGCCACACGGATTTTGTGCTTAGTGGAATCTGTTCACAGGGAAGTGCCAGCGCTTACCAGTTGTCCACAATTTGTGAACTAATGGAGAGATAACTCAGATAACCCTGTCAGCCTATCGGTGTTGTAAGCAACACCCTCCCCTGGGGTTTCATGTATTCAACAGCAAAGCAGGGGTGCAAAATATCCCCACGTTGTGCTCAAACAAGCCAGAGTCATCCCAGGGCACTGCCGGTACGGCCCCCAGATTTGCCGTCGCTGGAAGGCAGGTTCCCATGCCACACAAGGAGGATGCTGTCCTGCTTTGCATTAAATAATAACTGGGAGGCAGTGGAAGGTAGAATCATAGAATCATAGAGTCATCTAGGTTGGAAAAGCCCTTTAAGGTCATCAAACCAACCATTCCCCTACCCCTGCCATCCCACCACTAAACCCTGGCCCTAAGCACCTCATCTGTCCTTCTCTGAAATCCCCTCAGGGATGGGGACTCGACCCCCTCCCTGGGCAGCCCCTTCCAGAGCCTGACAGCCCTTTCGGTGAAGAAATTTCTCCTAATATTTAACCTAAACCTGCTCTGGTGCAACTTCAGACCATTTTCTCTCATCTGGAGGTGAATCTTGGAGCAGTACCTTGCAAGAACGTGGTGTGTGCATGCCGAGCGTGATCACCCTTTGCGTTGTTGCTTCTGATTTCCAGCACTTACCCTGATTCTATCGTTTGGGTTTTTTTTTTCTTGAGCGCCTCAAACTTCTAGCACATCATATCCTTTTGTTAGCTGGCCTCTATTTTTCTCTTTAGCACCACCACAAATTCCATTACAGCTGGTTTATGCCATTAAAGTCAGTAGTAAAATTGATTGGTACCTTAAAACAGGGCTCTGTTCTGACCCTGGGAGGGTTCACGCCTTCGTGAGCTCATCTGGCGCCTGACACCGCGCAGGAGCGGTGCTGTCACCTTAATTACACCCGTTGTATCTGGGGAGGTGGAACCTTGGAGCTACTTTGGATCTGTAAATCTGTCAGAATTATCGCCAAATCATGAATCGAAGATGGAAAATTCTTATTCAGCTTCCAGGCCCTCATCTGATGCTGGCCTCACCCCAGCCTCAGGAGTTTTTGCAGGTCTCTGGGATGGGCCCTCAGCTCTCCTGTCTTTTACTTGTTTACAAGGAAAACGGCTCGGGGTTACAGCCTGAGCTTCTATTTTTGGCAATGCTTTGAATTTCCAAGGATTTGCATTGCTTAGACAAGGTGATGCTCACACCAGAAACGTCAGGTGCTTGTAGCCAGGAGGTGCTTATAATTCGCTCTGAAAGCAGAGGAGAGCCGAGCTCTCCAGTACGCGCGCAGCTCTGTCACTGGTGTGTGTATGGGAACTGCTGGACCTCACGGAGACGTTAAATGACCGCTCCTTTCTATCTCATGGAGACGTTAAATAACCGCTCCTTCCCATCCCCAGGCTCCCAGCAGCAGCCTGGCCCCGGGGATGGGGCAGGAGGAGGAGGGTGGCTGATCATGGGCTCCCGCTGTCCGGAGCATTCACAGCGCTGCAGCTTGTTCCTAATTCAGAGTGCCCTTGTTGCCAAGAAGGCCAATGGTATCCTGGGGCGCATTAAGAGGAGCGTGGCCAGCAGGGCAAGGGAGGTTCTCCTCCCCCTCTGCTCTGCCCTGGTGAGACCCCACCTGGAGCTCTGTGTCCAGTTCTGGGCTCCCCGGTTCAAGAAAGATGAGGAACTCCTAGAGAGAGTGCAGAGGAGGGCCACAAGCATGATGGGGGGACTGGAGCATCTCCCCTGTGAGGAAAGGCTGAGGGAGCTGGGCTTGTTCAGCCTAGAGAAGAGAAGGCTGAGGGGGGTTCTCATCAACACGTACAAATATCTTAAGGGTGCGGGTCAAGAGGACAGAGCCAGACTCTTCTCAGTGGTGCCCAGCGCCAGGACAAGGGGCAATGGGCACAAACTGAAACATAAGAGGTTCCAGTTGAATGTGAGGAAGAACTTGTTGACTTTGAGGGTGCCCGAGCCCTGGCCCAGGCTGCCCAGGGGGGCTGTGGAGTCTCCTTCTCTGGAGATATTCAACCCCTGCCTGGACGCTGTCCTGTGCCCCCTGCTCTGGGTGAGCCTGCTTGAGCAGGGGGGTGGCACTGGGTCATCTTCAGAGGTCCCTTCCATCCCCTGCCAGTCTGGCATTCTGGGATTCTGTGTAATTCAACTTGGGAACAGTTGCCAGGGTTTGGCTGGAGGTCGAAGGAGGTTTGTGATGGGCAGTCGTACACTGAACATCCTTGGGAGGTTTTTTGCATTTTGGAATTGCTCCTCTTGGTTGCATGAAATGCTCCCAGGCCTGCCTAGAGTAAATATTGCTATTACCATTCAAATTGCCTAGTATTGCCCTTAGCTGGGGTAATCATAGAATATCTTGGCTTGAAAGGGACCCACGAGGATCATTGGGTCCAACTCCTGACCCCAGCTGGGAGAAGAGCTGTGAGCTGACCACGAGCAGTTGAAGGACAAATCTTTCCCTGCTGTAATATTATCCCATAATCACCCACAACGGGGTAGATCATGTGTTTTTTCTCTGGTCTATTTGGGAGTCAGGGTCAAACAGGCTTTTGGTCTAAGCTGCTTTGGCAAATGCTGTGGTGCCCAGAAAACATGCATTGCGTTGTGAAAACAGTAGGGAAAACAGGACAAACCCCCCGCGCTGCCAAGCAGGGGCTACCGGGGCATCGAGCTGGGAGGCTGCCAGCCTGTGTGGATGAGAGCCATGAACAGGGTAACGTGAAAGCATCAGTAAAACAATTTTGGAATACCCACTGATTGAAAACCAATAAAAAGGTGCCTGCTTTCTGTAAATTGTATTAAGGGGGATAAAGAGCTGTCATAGCGCGAGGCAGGATAAAGACGTGGCGTTGCTGCCATAATATCACCGATAAAATGCCGAGTGGGATCTAAGCTTGCCCACCAAGGATGCTGTCCATCAGCAACGGGGAGCAAGCTCTGCCCCCACAATGCCATCGGTTGGTATTAAGCTGGAGCTGATGGTACTGCCTTTCCTTAAAGTTGTGCGCTATTTCCCATTACCAGACCCTGGTGGGGTCTTTTGATGCTTGCATTAGCAAACTTGAAACATTTGGGTTCAAATTTCCATCGTGGCTGTTCGCTCAGCTTGGGATATATTTCGGTTTTGAAACTGCCAACAGCTTACGTTTTTTTTAAGAACAAAGTTGCAGGTAAAGACTTCACTTTGCCAAGGCTAAATTCGCGATCGTTCCGTTGAGGCGAGTCTCTCCTTCAGAGCTAGGTTCCAAAATTTAGCAGGAGATTTGTCAGATGCCAAGGACGCATCCCTATTTTGCTTTGCCCTTTAAAAAAGGATATCCCCACTCAGCCAGAGCATGAAGATGCTCCAGGGATGGTGCTTCTCGGGCTGGTGCAGCCCTGTGGCAGCAGCTCCCCTCGCAGCAGGCGGGAGTGCTGAGTTTCTCCTTTTCTTTCTCCAGACTCCAGCCGTGAGTTTTCTGAATCCCAGCCGCGGTCCAGAGTCGGGAGGGACGATGGTGACCATCTCCGGGCACTACCTGGGAGCCGGCAGCCGCGTGTCAGTGCTCCTGGGAAACCAGACCTGCGAATTCTACGGGTAAGAAGCCGAGCCGGGCCAGCGCGGGCTCCTGCCGTGCATGTCCCAGCGATCAGGGCTGCACCACCGTCTATCTGCTGGAGCTGAACCTGCAGCCACAGCAAAAATTCACCTGGGAACCCCTCAAGGCTCCCATTCCCCCTTTTATTACATGAATCCACCTTCTCCCTTACCGTGGCTGAGCCTTGCTTGGCAAGGGAGGGATTGCATTGGTATTAGTGCTGTCCGTTATTTCATTTTAATGCCATTACAATGGTAACTGGCCCAAAAATCTCGGGCGAACGTCACTGTAAAATGTTCACAGTAGTCATCAGTACCTGCCCTCAGCCTGGCTGATCTGAAGAAAATGTAGCGTTTATAAGGAATATCCAGTTTCTCTTTTCACAAGATCAAGATCTTGCATTACCTGTATTGCAGCCACTGCTGCAGGTGCCTCAGCCTCCTGGGTACGGCCCGAGCGAGGGGTGGGCTTCTGCGCGGCAGAGCAGAGCGGGGATCTGCGCCCCCCTTCTGCTGAGAAACCTGCGCAGCCATCCATCTCCTCTGGGACCTCTACGGCAAATTTGCTTTTTACCCAGCAGTGTAAACACGGCGTTGACATTTGCAGGGTTTAATGGGTTTTCTTGGGGCTTAGTTAAAAAAAGATACGTGCAGTGTACATCTGTGTGCCTCCCGTACCCATCCGTGCCCCGTGCCAGGGGTACAGAGGTGCCCCAAAGCAGCTGGCAGGATACACCCCATAGCGTGGGCGCTGCCTGCGTGGGTGCCTACCCAAAGTGCTGTGATGTGCAAAGGGATTCTGCCTGTCAGGTCCTCGCTCGGGCTTCCCAGGAGGAACCGAGGAAGTTTCTGGGAAAGTAAAGACCCCCAGAGGTGAATTCCTCATCTGGAGGCCTGCGAGGTTCTCTGATACGGGAGCTGTGGGTGCTCAGATGTGGGAGCCTGTTGGGCTAGTGGCAGCGCTTATTCTAGGTCCGTCCTAGAGTGGTGCTGCAGGAGGGCTGGACGTGCCGAGGTCTTGGGGTGCAGATGCGCCCTCCGAGCGCTGAGCACTGTGACTGCTCCATCCACGTTTCTTCCCATATCCGAGGGGAAGGTGCCAGCCTGCATCCTCGGATGCACACGGGTAACGGCGTTACCACCAGCAGAAGCAGCCTGCAAGTTGGCTTGAGAGCAGAATCAGCCCTGAAACGTAATCCCTTAAATATATGATTATGTTCAGGCAACCTGCAGATACTGACCTGCAAACCCTGGAAGAGTTTTGAATTCTCTGTATGTTCTAATTACAGCAGGCGAGCAGAAACTTAAACAAAGCGAGCGGCAGCACATGAGTGGCACCATCCTTCATGTGGGGTCACGCTGTGCACTTTGTTTTGCTTGGACTGTTTTGAGGCAATGAACTTCAATTGTACTCGAGGGTGTGGGGGAGCCTGATTAGATGAAGCAGTTTCTAATGAGATTCACTCTAATTACAGCTTCCCCCACTCTCCCCTCTCTGATCCGAGGAGTGGGTAGATTCACCATGACGACATAATAATAGCGCAGAAAGCTAATTAACTGATCTCAGGGAGCGGAGAGCGGCTCTGCCAGCAGCGAGGCGTCACTCCGCATCTCGTGCCAGCGCTAAGCAGGCGCGGTGGAGCCTGGCGGGGCTGAGCGGCTGCGCCGGCGCGGAGCAGGCAGCGGGAACGCTCCGAGAATCGGCAAGGAGGGTGGAGAAATGTGCTCCTCGCACAAGGGTGCCCTCCTGGTTAAATTAAACCTAGGTGGCGAGTGAGAATAAGGTGTGGGGGGGGAGAGGCGGGGAGCGGGAAGGGGTAGACGTGTTATCATGTCAAGAGAAACAAGTCCAATTTGTTTCAGACGGTTTAGGAGGTTGTTTCTGTTCCCTGGGTTGTGGTGGACGGGTGTGCCAAGGTGTGAGCTGGGAACACCGTGGGACCCGCTGTTCAATGCCCCCTGAAATGCTCGGTGCCGGGCGATGTGCCTGTACTCCTTGGATGGCGAAGGCTGGACGTCCCGGAGCACCAGCTTTTGATTTAAGTGCCAAACCATCAGCAAGGCGCTCAAAACCTGCCTGCCCTCTCCCCTGTGAGAAGCCAAAACGAAATGAGCCACGGAAACAGCACGGCCTTTTCGGTGAGCCAGGTTTGGGCAGGCGGGACAACCCGTGACTCCCAGGGATGTCGCTCCAGCACTTTTTGTAGGAACAGCGTCCAGGCTCACCGCAGAGCCGTGCGGGTCCTCGCAGCTCTGTCCCGGCCACGGGAGCGGCGCCGCTCGGCCCTCATTCCCCTTCATCCACCCACCCACCCACCGGCGCCTTTGTGCCTTGGCAGCACCTTGCTGTCCCGCCGCCTCGAGCTCCCCCGGGGCTCCGACGGAAGCAGATGGCCTGTTGTGTCCCAACAGCCAGCGCCGGGGCCGAGGTCACCCCTGCTCTGACGGGCAGACAAAGCCGGCAGGCAGCGGTGACGGTGGCATCGCCCTTCCCGAGCGGGGGCTTCGCCGGCTCCATTATGCCTCTCACAAGGGCCCGTGTGTGCAGCGGGGTGGGGAGGGGAAGAATTTGGCTTTTGAGCGAGCGTATGCATCCCATTTAAAAAGCAGCCATCTGTTTTCACACGCCCAACAGAAGGCAGCGGGTTCACAGAGGGATGCGGGAGGCTGCAGTTTGGCACAAAGAGTAATTCCAGGGAGCTTGTGCTTCTCTCTCGGTGGGCAGGCAGAGTCCCCTCCTGCACAGAGCTCCGTCCCCTCCCTCCCGTGCCAGCGCAGCCCTCCTGCCCCTCCCGGGAGCTCATCCCCTTCGCCAGCATCAGGGTCTGGGGCTCAGCCTTTTTGTGAGCTGCCAGGACAAAGCGTCCTGTGCCGCGACTGCCCCTTAACGCTTCCCCGGCTTCTCTCGTGCACAGGCGATCCATGAACGAGATCGTCTGCGTGTCGGCCCCGTCGGCCCACGGCCTGGGGGCTGTTCACGTCTCCGTCAGCGTTGACCGGGCTCAGCTGGAGCGGACCTTGCTGTTTGAGTACATCGATGACCCGAAGGTGCAGCACATCGAGCCCGAGTGGAGCATCGCCAGGTAACACAAGGCACTGAGACGGGACCTCGGCAGCAGGAGAGGAGCCAGCTCGCCTGGTCTGGGTCTTCTCTCTCAGCAGCGAGGGCAGAAGGGGGTCTATTTGGGAATGCACGTCCCACCCGGCATCCTGGGTTTGTCAGTGCTGGGCGTCTGCGGCGTTTGCATTTACCAAAAGTCAGGTCCAGAGTTTCTAAAGCAGTTGTAATTACCAAAGCAATTACAGCAGTAGCAGCCTGCACCAAGATTCTGGGAGCGCAAATAAAGCCCCGAGATCACTTCCATCTGCTGAAGAAGTGCACAATTGCTCATTAAAGGCTCCTTCTTGTAGTCCTGGGAGAAAACAAAACCAGCAACCACCAAGAAAGGAAAAAGCCAGTGCTAATCAAAATGTACTGTTCATCCCAGATTCACTGCTAGGAACAGGGCGGCCGGCGCTGTCACATCACGGTTTGAAGCTGCACCAGGGCAGGTTTAGGCTAGACATTAGGAAAAACTTCTTCACCGAAAGGGTTGTCAGGCTCTGGAATGGGCTGCCCAGGGAGGTGGTGGAGTCCCCATCCCTGGAGGTATTTAAAAGAAGGGTAGGTGAGGTGCTTAGGGACGCGGTTTAGTGGTCGGATGGCAGGGTTAGGTTAAAGGTTGGACTCGATGATCTCAAAGGTCTTTTCCAACCAAAGCGATTCTATGATTCTATGATCACCGTGACGTCATCACTGGTAAAAATCCTGGGCCGTGCTTGTCCCCTGGTGTTACTTTAATGGTTGTGATCACAGGGGCTGTAACACAGCTTTTCATTTCAAATTCCAACTATTTTTTTTTTTAAATTGCCCATGAAAGAAGGAAGTGTCTCACAGCAGGCCCTGCGGGATGTTTGCTTTGCGCCCAAATTGAAGGTGGCGTGAGGCTTGGGGTGCGACGGTTCGATGGGCTGGTCGGGGCTGCTGGCAGAGGTGGTCTAAAGGGAGGAGCTGGTGGGGTCTGGGCCGAATCTGGGCTGTGCTGCTCCAATGAACACACGAAGGAAGAAGCCAGGAGTGAGAGGCTTTGCTGGGGGGCGCTGGCTGTAGGAAAACAGCCTCGTCTGGAGAAGAGGAGGCTGAGGGGAGACCCGATCGCCCTCTACAACTGCCTGAGAGGAGGCTGTAGGGAGGTGGGGGTCGGCCTCTTCTCTGTGGTAACAGATGATAGGATGAGGGGGAATGATTTGAAGCTGCGCCAGGGCAGGATTAGGCTAGAAATTAGGAAAAAGGTTTAGTGGTGGGATGTCAGGGTTAGGTTAACGGTTGGACTCAATGATCTCAAAGGTCTTTTCCAACCAAAGCTATTCTATGATTCTTGAGAGACGCCGCTCCCCAGCGGCGCCGGGAGCAGGCATTAATCCCCGCTGTCACCTGGCGCCTGAAGTGTCTGCAGAAAGCATCCTCCTGAGATCAGCAAGCATCCTGACGGCCGAGCACGGTCTCTCTGCCCAGTCCCAGCCCCTCCTGCCCCGTGCATTAATCAGGTGTCTCCCGGTTCTCCGCAGCGGACACACGCCTCTGACTGTCACCGGCTCCAACCTGGACGTCATCCAGGAGCCCAGGATCCGCGTCAAGTACAACGGCAAGGAGTTTGTCAACGTAAGTAGCTGCTGTCAGCGCGGAGCCGCCGGGCTGTGCCTGGGAGCATCCCCACGCTGCTGGTCCCATCCCCCACCCCGTGCCCACCTACGGGTACCGGTGCCGGTGCTCTCTGCCTGATGAGACTTGCGGTGGCAAAAGCCACGCTGGGGCTATTTCCCTCGACTTATCCAAACTGTTAGCGGCAAATCCTGGGCGCCCTGGAAAGGGGGATCCTGACACACAGAAATGGGAAATGCCTCAGCAGCGCAGTGACTGCCAAGGGGTTTTCAAAGCTGGAAACGGAGGACTCCGTTTTAGGTCTCCCATAACCTCCTATTCCGTCTCGGGTCAGATAAGCTTGTTTCCCCCTTTTGGCAGAGCCCCAGAGCCCCCAGAGCTCTCCTCTCCCCAGCATCCTTCCCTCCCCTGCCCCTCGCTCAGCCCTACGGGCATGTTGTGACGGAAAGCCCGAGCTGTCCCCAGCACCCCCAGCTGCTCCACACTTCCCATTTTAGTCCTGCTCTTCCTGTAAAAGCCCAGAGCTGGGCGCACAGAACTGCCAGCTATGAGGCTGCTATGTTTAACCAGTCTCTCCCTAGCTGCCTCTCTATAAATAAACTTATTGCCACAGCCCTGGGCCTGGCAAGCCTGTACCAGCCCAGGGAGGGGAGGGGAGAGGGGAACCACGGCTGAACAAAATGCTTTCAGGCCACTTTTGCAGCTCGATCACGGCGGCGAGGCCGGGAGCTGCTTCCCGGTGCCCTCCTCGTCATGCGAGGATGCTGGGCGTGGGGCTCCGGGTATTTTCAGGAAGCTGGGTGTTGTTTTTACGCCTCCTTCCCTTCCTCCCTCCTATCACCCAGATGCTCCCAAAGCGAGGAGTTGGTAGCAGAGTTTGGGGTTGATCTGGAATGCCACCTCCTTCCCATAGCTGGTTTTTTTTTTCAGTCCAGGAGTGAGAAACTGAAATGAATCCTCAGCTAAAGAGGAATTAAGTGATGTTCTTGTGTGCTCCAAATAAGAATTGCACCTCCAGAACCCACGGAAATTATTTTGACCACGTAAAACTGAAAAATATCATTTCTATGCAGTGATCTTTCTGACTGAATCTGTATTATCTTGGAAAGGGCAAATCACTTAGCGGTCTTTTCCTATTCCCTTTCTCCCTTCCCCTCCAAAGACCTTTTCATCTGAGCTCTTTTTAAAAAGACATCTAATTTTGTTGTTAGCAGTTGCAGTTATAGCGCCGCAAAAATAATTCTGGAGACACAAAATTGAATGAAATTAAATCTTCCACTTATGGAGGGAGGCCAAACGGTTGGGCTTTTGCTGCTTTATAAGGCAAGAGTCTCATAAATCAGGCAGCTCCCTGCCTCCAGGGGCTGGAGGAGCCGTGGGTGTCCTCAGCCCGGCGGGAGGTGACCTTCACGTTACCTCCAGCCCACCAGTGTTGGATGATCGTCCCTCTCCCTTGCTGGCCTTTGGGAATTGCCTCTAACCCCCGATTTGTGGCAGGGACCAGGTATTGGCTATGGGTCTGTTTCGAAGCTAGCATTGCCAAAAAGGATGCGACTGGAAAGAAAGGAAAAAAAATAAAGAAAAAGGGCGAAATGATGCGCTATGCGAGCCTCTTGCTCCTTTAAAACACTGCTCGTTTGGAAGCTGGCCCCTCCATCTCACACCAGTGCCTTTGCACTGGCCGGGGGGGAAGCACATTCCCCCAAACAGTGGCTGTAATGCATCAAGCCTGGATTAAATATTTGCAGCTAGACTTGAATCCGCTGGACTTTGCAGGGAACATTTAAGGAATGAGAACATCGTTGTCCAGGTCAGGGTAAAGCTTTCCCTGCTGTCTTTCAAAGCCTTGCCTTCCCCCCAGGTCTGCAAGGTGGTGAACGCCACGGCACTGGCCTGCCTGGCCCCCCCCCTCACCCCCGAGTACCGGCCCGGCCTGGACGCCGTCGAGCGGCCCGACGAGTTTGGGTTCATCTTTAACAACGTCCAGTCCCTGCTGGTCTACAATGACACCAAGTTCATATACTATCCCAACCCAACGTTTGAACTCCTGAGCCCGACCGGGGTGCTGGAGCAGAAGCCGGGGTCGCCCATCATCCTGAAGGTAAGGAGACCCTTACTCACCCAGTGGGAAGTGGCAAAAAAATCCCAGAGAGGAGAGTTTTAGACCCCCTTTTGGAGAACAGGACATGCTAGACTGAGACCCGTTGTTTGTACCAGCTGGGAATGAGATGAAAACTGGAGAAATGCGCTGCATCTCTGTAGTCTTCTCTCCCCTTGTCCCTAGGGCAGAAACCTGTGCCCACCCGCTCCTGGAGGAGCAAAGCTCAACTACACTGTGCTGGTCGGAGAAACACCCTGTGCCGTCACCGTCTCCGAGACCCAGCTGCTGGGCGAGCCACCA